GAGAGCAGCTAGGAAAAATATAACCCAACCTCACATCCTTTCTGCACACATCTCTCCTGCTAGGACTTCACATAAATCAGTCTCCCAAGGTCCTGAACTGGGTGGAGAAGTGTAGAAAATTGGTCTGGAGGGACAACAGAAGATATACAACACAGTCCTCTAGTTACTTACACAAGACCATGTGAACTTCTTTTGCTACTACTAGAAGTGGCTGCAAGCATAGAAACCAAGAAGGGCATGTGACCCAGTGTAGCCACGTTCCCACCCTATGTTTCCCAACACTGGAGATGGAGAGCTTACCTGCTCCGAAGAGCAAAGTGTGCAGGAAACACTGGCACACAGGAGAAAGCTCAGGTTTAATAAAGAGGCCATCTCAGTAACTGCATTCCAGGTAAAGTTGCCAGATTTAGCAAAAATACAGGACAGCCAGTTAAATTTTAATTTCAGATAACAACTAATTTAACTGAGAATCCTATATTTTGTCTGATGACCCTAATTCCAGGCCTCTGAGGACCCCAGACCTCCCACACCTCAACAGGCACCCAGAGGGGAAGAGAGAAGAAAGATTCTTGCACATTTGTCTTTTTGCAGCAGAGGACCAGGCAATGCAAGGAGAGCCTGAGGCCTCTCCCTTTGCCAGCCACCTGGAAGATGCAGAGGGAACCCAAGGAGGCAATCAGAGCTAGAGGTCTTTGCTTTCCAGCCTGTGGAAGCATGAGAACAGACTCCCCAGAGGCAAGATTTCCGGAAAGGGGAAGCTGTGCCTCGAACCTTATGGCTCAGTCAATGCCCTTGCCCTTGACCAACCACCCCACCTCCTCCTGCTCCTCCTTCTCAAGGCTGTTGCGTTTGGAAACCATGTGCTTCTTTCCTTGGGAGGATGACACACATAACACGAGACTCTTCTGCCAAAAGCATAACTCTGTTTAAAGCAGAGCTTCCTACCAGTTGACTGACATTGCTGGCAGTTTCACCTCCCCAAATCTAGAACTCTAAGTGCTTCTACTTTGAATTTAGTATTAGGCAAGAAATATGAACAGGTAGGTGAATGGAAGTGACCAATGAGCTAGGAGAAAGCCATAGATGAAGTGAAATAAGAAACTGACAGAACATAAGCAGATAGGTACCCTAGTTACTGAGAGAGAAAGAATACTTCAAAAGTACAGTCACATCATAACCTGAACTCTAAAGGAGAATATGACTGTAGGAGAAATAGGTAGGCTCAGAAAACAACAACAACAATCTGATCTAATAATCCCAATTAAGAGTCAAAGAAACTAAGGTCACCTAAGAAGGGGTTGGGAAGAGCTCTGATCTCCAAAGAATCAGGAAAAATAATGGAAGGACAGGAATTCATTGAATGGCCCATTACAGGCTCTCAGATGCTGAATCAAGGACACTTACAAAGCTCCTTGCTGAAAAGACATAGACAAAAAAAAAAAAAACAGACTTTGTAGCTAAATTACCTAACACAGTGAAAATAAAATAAGATAATGTGAAATTAATGGAAGTAGGACCCAGCTTTTGTGAGACCTATAGGTTTGGCCTGAAGATTTAAGAAAAGAACACAAAATATAAATGCAAATTCAAGTATGAAAGTGAATATATCTTTGTGACTATTTCTTTAGTTAAATATTTTTATAAACTTAGACCAAAACCAAACCCACTGCCATTGACTCAATTCTGACTCATAGCGACACTACAGGACATAGTAGAACTGCTCCATAGGTTCCAAGGCTGTAAATCTTTACAGAAGAAGAGTGCTTCACTTTTCTCCCAGAGTAGCTTGTGGGTTCAAACACTGGCCATTTGATTAACAGCCAAATGCCTTAGCCAAGGCACCACTTTGAACTCCTTTTTATAAACTTGGAAAACTGAAAACTACTACAAACATCACAAATGACAAATAACATGACACTTCTTTTTTCAGCTATTCCATACACCTTTATCCTCTTTTCCCTACATCTGTGGGTATGTATTCTTTGATTGTCCTTATATATGACAATGATTTTGTGACAACACTTTAGAGAGAATAGAAAGTTAATCTAGACTTCCCTCTAACATAGTTGAATTATTATTATTTTTTAATTATTGTTAGTTTGGAACATTTTCTTTTATTTATGTTTTTATTATTTTTTTGTTGGTGTTGTTATAATTTGGGTCTAAATTTACAAAGCAGATTCATTTTACTCCCAAAGTTCATGCACATTTGCTTTCACAGACCTGATTGCAATCCCCAAGCATAAAAAATTCTCCTTCCCTCTCCTCCCTGTGACTACCTCTTCTCTGTGCCCTTCTTATCTATGCATTTCTGTCTGTCCAGCTTTCCCTCTATGTGAATGCTGCCCCTCTGATGTCTCATGGCTGATTGATCTAAGGTGTGCATCTCCCTGGGGTAGGTGGGTACACCTCCCAGGGATAAGTGTTCTGCTTGTAGGTCTTTCTACTGTTGGACTGAGAGCCAATCCATAGAAATGAGTCCATTTCCAGGCCTGAAGGATAACCCAGGGCCATAGTTTCAGGAGTTCCACCAGTCTCTATCCCACTAATAATTCTGGTCATTTTTGTGTTCTTGAGTTTTGTTCTACATTTTTCCTCCCACTCTAGAAAATTTTCTTTCAGCTTCATTTATGAAGCCCAATTATGGCATTATGGAAAGGAACACTTTGGTTAAAGCACTCACCTTTTAACCAAAAGGTCAGTGGTTCAAACTCACCAGCCACTCTGCAGGTGAAAAGTCCTAGTGATCTACTTCCATAAAGATTTCAGCCAAGGAAACACTGTGAGGTGGTTGTATTCTGTTCTATAGGGTTACCATGAGTTGGAATCAACTCAATGACACACAACAACAGGGCATGAGGAAGTATCTTTATGAAGGGAAGTATGACAAAAGGGAAGTCAGATTGGAAAAGGATGACAGACTTAACCAGTATTGCACTTAAAAAATATATTTTACTTTTGAAAATTTTACAAAATACACAGTGAACAAAGTGCTAGGCTTTTTTCAGGACCTTGGAAGATGCCTGTGTAAAATGAGGGGCCTTGAAGCTTTGGAGAGCATGGCCTTGGTTACTAAATTCCTCTTACACTTAGGTCTTCTCTATCAAAGAGAGGACTATTTGATTGGAGAAGATGGATATGAACACCTAGTCATATCACAGCCATTCAAGTCCTCAGATCCAAAAAATTACATCCCAGGGATGAGAAGGACCTACAGTAACTCTAGAACTCAGAGGATACAAGGGATTCCAGGTAACCAAATGAACAAAAAAACAAACATACAACAACAACAAAAAAATCTGTTGCCATTGAGTTGAGTCCAATGAGCTAGGTGTCCAGATGAAGGGAATTGCCTCAATAAAGATAAAGCAGTTGGAATTTAGTAAAATACAGGCAAGTAAATCTATACATTATTCCTGAGAAAATGCCAGAGCAAATTATTAAAACATGACTTCTGAGCATTTCTGAGGTATAAAAATGATCATGGGGAGTCAGAATGAGTCTTGGAAGTTTAATAGTGAAGAAAATAAAGTAAAAAAGAAAAAGAAAGGAAAATAAGAGTTAAGTCCTGCTGAACTGGCCCATTCCTTTTCCTGATAACAAGATTGGGCAGGTAAATTAAGGAAACATCTTAGAAATAGTATCTCTCAAGTTCAAAATACCATTTGACAATTGTCCTTTTGAGTAAATAAATGAGAGCTGTGAGCAAGATCTTAATTCACTTAGGTCCATTGTCTGTGGTCTCTCTCAATATCCAGAGGTTGCTTAGTGGATTAAAGCCAACCAGGAGGGCACTTTAGCAATGTGCCTATGTAAAATGATCTTTAGTACCATTATGGACACCACACCCTGTAAGAGAGATTGTGACAAATTAGAAACCAAAGGGTAGGAATTATGTCAGGAAAGGATGTGAAAGTAATGTCAGGGGAACATTGACACAATTAAAAATGTTCCTTCGCACAAATGAATTTATATTAAATGAATACTTGAGGTATGATTGGATATTAAATTGTAGAATTTTAGAGCTAGATAGGGCCATCCAATCTCCTAAAATTTTAACTGATGATGAAACTGGAGTCAAGTGAGTATGTGTACATCCATAATAGCATTTATTCAACACCTATTATGTTCAAGTGGTATATTAAGCACTGGGAATAGAAAATAAGCAAATTAAAATTTCTGTGTCCAAGAACATAGTCCACTTGGTGGTGAGACATAAGCACATAAATAACTAATTATAACACAATTTTGTAATTGCACCTGTAATTGGTGCTTAAAATGTTAGAACATAAAGGAAATTTAGTTTGAAACATTCAAAAAAAAGAGGTAAGATGTGACTTTGCTGGAAGATTATCTGTTAAAGTATAAGTATATTGAATAGGGAATGCAGGGAGGGTGACTCCCAGTCAGAGAGCTCCATGTGTTCAGGAGCAGAAGGTTTGAGGACAGATCTTGAGGAAAGATGTAAGGGCCAGATTAAGAAATACCTTAAAAGCAATGCTGAAGAATTTGGTCTTTACCTGCTAGGAGTAGGAAGCCATGGAGTTTTTCAGAAATGAAGTAACATGTTAGAAGCTGTTAAAATTTTTTTAAAAACAGTGAGGCAGTAGAGTGAATTGTATAAAAACATGAGCTGATAATCAGTCTGCCTGTGTTCAAATCCCAGCTATGTCACATCAGCTGTGTGACTTTGTACATGTTCTTTAATCTATGTTGCCTCAGTTTCCTTAACTTTAAATAAGAATGAATTTGTATCACTTGTCATATTAGGGAAAGGTGTCAAAAAGAATTAGGATTAGATGTCAAAGCTAAGATGTGAAGAATTACTTGGAATAGGAATTAACTGGGGGAAACAGAGGAAAGAGGGGCAAGACATTTCACCAAGGAAATTTTAAGTAATTGTCACTGCATCTTGATCTTCTTGTTAAGTATTGTTATTTTGACTAAATTATTTGGAAAAATTTGTGAGATAATTATTTCTGTGCTTTACTATTTAACAGGAAATACCTTCATTTTTAGTACCTTACTGGGAACTAACTGAAAGTTCTTATATACAAAACATCAAAACAGTGCTGAGGCATCTGAGAGAAAATCAGCATAATGTGATTGCTTACTTATATGAGGTTAGGTAAGTAAGCTACCAAAATTAGAATTTCACATTTTACAAGTATAATGCTTAAGATCTATCTTTTCATAATGCCTTACAGAACAAGCTTCCAGCATTTTCTAATGCGTCCAGATCACAAGCAAGATTTTGTAGCTCATTGGCAAGCTGATTTCAACTCTCTTCCTGATGACCTGTGGGATGATGAGGAAACCAAGGCAGAACTACACCAAAGAGTGAATGTAAGACGTCATCCCCACTCTCAAATCTTATATAACAAAATCCCAATTCATTCCCTTCTTATTTTCATGAGTTGTAAAGACGAGGTAGGAAATTGCTTGAAGTCTTTCCAGCCAAATTTCAAGAGAAATAGCTCCTCTTCACTTTCAGTTCAGAATGAGAATATGATGGATAGTGCTTCTGAAAAGAGAGGCCAAGTTTTATGCAGAGGATTTTTAACATCTGTTTTGTAGAAGGGTAACCTCTTAATCCATTACTCATCTGTTAGTTTGTCATACTACAGTGGCTAATTTGTTGCTGTGATGTTGGAAGCTATGACACCAGTATTTCAAATATCAGCAGTGTCACTAGGTGGACAGGTTTCAGTGGAGTTTCCAGTCTAAGAAAAACTAGGAAAAAGGATGTGGTCAGGTCCACTTCTGAAGAAAATGGCCACTGAAAACATTGAATAGCAGTGAACCATTCTCTAATATAGTGCCAGAAAATGAGCCCCTCAAGTTGGAAGGGACTCAATACAACTGGGGAAGAGCTGCCTTCTCAAAGTAGAGTCAAGCTTAATGATGCAGATGGGGTAAACTTTCAGGGCATGGCTCAAAATAAGAAGAGCTGCAAACATCCATGAATTATTGGAATGTGGAAAGCATAAAGTATGAATCTAGGAAAATTGGAAGCTGTCAAAAATGAATGAAACACATAAAGATCAATCTCCTAGGCATTAGTGAGCTGAAATAGACTGGCATTGGCCATTTCAAATTGGACAGTCATATAGTCTACTATGTAAGAAATGACAAATTGAGGAGGAATGACATCACATTCATCATCAAAAAGAATACTTTAAGATCTGTCCTGAAATGCAAGGGATAGCATTATATCCATAAGCTTACAAAGAAATCCATTTAATACTATTATTATTCAAATTTATGCATCAATCACTAAAGCCAAAGATGAAGAAGGTGAAAATATTTACCAACTTGTGCAGTCAGAAATTGACCAAATACTCATTCATGATTAATTGTTAATCGCTGTTGATTAGAATGTGAAAAGGGAAGGGAAAAGGAAAGGAACACCAGGGCATCCAGGACAGAGCAAGCAGCAGAGGGATCCACGTAAGGGGAGGGACCCAGGTCCCAACTCCCAAGTGGCAGGAAGAGCAGAGGGGAAAGGAAAGGAAAGCCAGGGCTTCAAGGACAGAGTGAGCAAGCAGCAGGGATCCTGGTAAGGGGAGGGTAGAGAGGGTTGGAACAGCTACGGGAGATAAATTTGTCTATCAGTTTGTCATGCTCTGGTGGCACGTTGCTGTGAGGCTTGAGGCTGTGCCACCAATGTTTCAAATGCCAGGGGGGTTGCACATGGTGCACAGGTTTCAGTGCAGCTTACAGACTGAGACAGACTAGGAAGAAGGAGGAGCCATCCACTTCTCAAAGAATTGGCCAGGCAAAACCTTATGAACAGCCAGAAATACTGTCTGATACAGTTCAGGACAACAATCCACTTAGGTTGGAAGGCTCTCAAAATAGGACTGGGAAAGTGCTGTATCATCAGAGTAGAAAAAACCTTACTGATATGTGTAAAGTAAAGTTTTCAAGGCCTCCATTTGCTGACATGACATGTCTAAATTGAGGAGAAACAGCTGCAAACATCCATTAATAATCGGAACATGGAATGTATGAAGTATGAATCTAGGAAAATTGGAAGTTGCCAAAAATGAAATGGAACCCATAAAGATTGACATCCTAGGTATTAGTGAGCTGAAGTGGACGGTTTTGGCCATTTTGAATCAGACAACCATATGATCTACTATGCCTGGAATGACAATTTGAAGAGGAATAGTGTGGCATTCATCATTACAAAGGATATTTCAAGATCTGTCCTGAAGTACAATGCTGTCAGTGATAAGATAATATCCATATGCCTATAAGGAAGACCTGTTAATACTATTATTATTCAAATTCATGCACCAACCACCAAAGCCAAAGATGAGGAAATTGAAGATTTTTATCAATTTCTGCAGTCTGAAATTGATGGAACATGCAATCAAGATGTGTTGCTTATCACTGGTGATTGGAATCCAAAAGTTGGAAACAAGGAAGAATCCCCGGTAGTTGAAAAATTTGGCCATGGTGACAGAATTAACACTTGAGAATCCATGATAGAATTTTGCAAAACCAAAGACTTATTCATTGCAAATACCTTTTTTCAACAACACAAATGGCAGCTATACACATGCACTTCACCAGATGGAACACACAGGAATCAGTTTGACTACATTTGTGACAAGAGGAGATGGAAAAGATCAAAATCTTCAGCCAAAACAACACCAGGAGCTGATTGTGGAACAGACCATCAACTGCTTATATGCAAGTTCAACTTGAAATTGAAGACAATTAAAACAAGTCCATGAGAGCCAAAATATGACCTTGAATATATCCCTCCTGAATTTAGAGACCATCTAAATAATAGATTTGATGCACTAAACACTAATGACCCAAAACCAGAAGAACTGTGGGATGACATGAGGAACATCATCTATGAAGAAAGCAGGAGGTCATTAAAAAGATGAGGAAAAAAAAAAAGAAAAGAAAAGACCAAAATGAATGACAGAAGACACTTTGAAGCTTGCTCTTGAGTGGAGAGTAGCCAAAGCAAATGGAAGAACTGACAAGATAAAAAAGCTAAACAGAAGATTTCAAAAATTGGCTTTGTCAAGCAGACAAAGCCAATTACTATAATGAAGTGTGTAAAGACCTGGAGTTGGAAAGCCAAAAGCGAAGAACATGCTCAGCATTTCTCAAGCTGAAAGAACTGAGGAAAAAATTTAAGCCTCAATTTGCAATATTGAAAGATTCTATGGGCAAAATACTGAATAATGCAGGAAACATCAAAAGAAGATGGAAGGAATACACAGAGTCACTGTACCAAAAAGAATTGATACCTCTTCATCCATTTCAGGAGGTGGCCTATGATCAAGAGCCAATGATATTGAAGGAAGAAGTCAAAGCTTCACTAAAGCAATTGCTGAAGAACAAGTCTCCAGGAATTGATGGAATACCCATTGAGATGTTTCAACAAACAGATGTCTTGCTTGAGGCATGCACTCAGTATGCCAAGAAATTTGGAAGACAGCTACCTGGCCAACTGACTGGAAGAGATCCATATTTGTACACATTGCAAAGAAAGATGATCCCACAGAATGTGGAAATTATCAAACATTATCATTAATATCACAACCAAGTGAAATCTTACTGAAGATAATTCAAAAACGACTGTACCACTATATTGACAAAGAACTTCCAGAAGTGCAAGCTGGATTCAGAAGAGGATGTGAAATGATGGATATCATTGCTGATGTCAGATGGATCTTGGCTCAAAGCAAAGGATTCCAAAAGGTATTTATTTGTGTTTTACTGAGTATGCAAAAGCATTTGATTGTGTGGATCAGAACAAATTGTGGATAACATTGAGAAGAATGGGAATTCCAGAACACTTAATTAAAGTATAAGTGTACTCATAAGGAACCTGTACATAAACCAGGAGGCTGTCATTCAAATGGAACAAAGGGACACTGCATGGTTTAGAATCAAGAACGGAGTGTGTCAGCGTTGTGTCCTTTCACCATACTTATTCAATCTATATGCTGAGCAAATAATCCAAGAAGCTGGATTATATGAAGAAGAATGTGACATCAAGATTGGAGGAAAAATCATTAACAACCTGTGCTACGCTGATGACACAACTTTGCTTGCTGAAAGTGAGGATGACTTGAAGCACTTACTGATAAAGATTCAAGAATACAGTCTGCAGTATGGATTACATATCAATAAAAAAAAAAAAAAACCTCAAAACTGACCTACAAGCAGCATCATAATAAATGGAGAAAAGATTGAGATTGTCAAAGACTTCACATTGCTTGTTTCTACAGTCAACACCAATGGAAGCAGATCAGGACATCAGAAGACGTATAGCACTGGGCAAGTTAGCTGCGAAAGACGTCTTTCAAGTGCTGAAGAGCAAAGATGTCTCCTTGATGACTAGGGTGTGCCTGATATAAGCCATGATACTTTTCAATTGCTCCATATGCATGTGAGAGCTGGACAATGAATAAGAAAGACTGAAGAAGAATTGATGCTTTTGAGTTGTGGTGTTGGTGAAGAATACTGAAAGTACCATGGACTGCTAAAAGAACTAACAAATCTGTCCTGGAGGAAATGCAGCTTGAATGTTCCTTGGAAGCGAGAATGGCCAGACTTTGTCTCACCTACTTTGGTCATGTTATCAGAAGGGGCCGTTCCCTGGAGAAGGATGTCATGCTTGGTAAGGTGGAGGGTAGATGAAGGAGGGGAAGGGCCTCAGTGAGATGGATTGACACAGTGGCTGTGAGTATGGTCTCAAGTATAGCAGGGATCACAGATCTGGCACAGAACAGGGTGATGTTTCATTCTGCTGTGCACAGGGTTGCTATGAATTGAAGATGACTCAGAGGCATCTAACAACAACAACGTGAAAGTTGCAAACAAAGAAGCATCAAGTTAGAAAATACGGTCTTGGTGAAAGAAATGATGCTGGAGGTCACAAGACAGAATTTTTGCAAGACCAATGACTTATTCATTGCAAATGCCTTTTTTCAACAGTATATCCAGTGACTATTCATGTGGACTTTGCCAGAAGGAATACCCTGGAATCAAGTTGACTACATCTGTGGAAAGAGCAATGGAGAGCACAATATCATTGGTTACAACAAGGGGAGGGGCCAACTGTGAAACAGACCATCCATTGCTCATATGCAAATGCGAGTTGAAACTGAAGAAAATATTTGAAAATTCCATAAGAGCAGAAGTAGAATCTTAAGTATAACCACCTGATTTAGATAGCCATCTGATGGATAGATTTGACACACTGAACAATAATAGATAAGGTCCAGTGGAGCTTCCAGTCTAAGACAGACTAGAAAGAAGGATGTGGTCAAGTCCAGATGAGTTGTGGGATGGTATCATACATCATATAT